GTATAACAAATTAAATTTTGAGTTTCAACTTTTATTTTATTTAAAATCTTAATATTTTGAATTGATTTCAAAAAAAAAAGTATCTGTCTATTCCTATTTATTAGACTAACAAAAGGAGTAATTTGGTGAATTTAATACTCTTCTTCAACTTTCATTTTCAATGCATATGCATATTCCTATTCCATAATTACCATCTTTTCTATAACTATTAAGGCCGTAAATAAATTGAACTGTAAGGGTTCGATTTGGCTCAATTCATTAAATAAGAAAATGATCTCAAGTAAAATATTTAGACTAATTTAATAAACAAGTTCAGTTTAAACTTGAACTTGAATAAGCGTGGCTCATTTCTCTTTGAAATAATGTAAATAATAATAATTAAAAAAAAATTATGTTCGATTCACCCCCTGATCTTATCAAACTACTATTGGGCCTGATCTTGTTTGCAGCTGTACCTGTGGGCTATTGAAACAAGAAGCCAGCCTTCTGGGCCCACATTTTGGCTGAGATCAAGTCCAATCTGACTGGGCGTAACCTTAAAACAATAAAAATTGAAGTAACATCTTGAAAATGTATGGATTAGGAAAAAAAAAAGTGTATTGACAAAGTACTAGATGATTTTGCTAGATTTATTTTGGTGTTGATTGAAATGACATAACAACAATGCTAACCATTCAGGAAATAAATAAATAAATTTAAAGTTGATAGGAAATTAAGAACTATTTTATCTATATAACTTTTAAAATTAGTTATATTATATATATGTATATACATATAAATGCTAGTGTATAAATAATCTAATTCTTGATCTCGAATTCTCGAATTGAATAATGTTATATGTATATATTGATGTATTAACTAGTATATAAACAGGTGATGTGACATAATTTTAGAAATTTTGAATATTTGTAATTTGTATAAAAGATATGATTAATAATAATGATACAACACTAATTTGTATAATATCACCTCCTCGAATTTATGTACATTTGGTAAGTATGAAGGGCATAAGATGAGTATAAAATCCAACCATGAATTTTGCAAAATATGAAACCAACAAAAAAAAATTATGGAAGAGTATAAGATTGTATTACACAACCAAATTTAAACATTTTAAACATTTTATTTGTTAATATTTATTTGTCAAACATGATACACGGATGACACATGTCCACCCGCTGCTCAGAATATAATATTATTGTCAGAAGAGCTAGTTTTTTAAAAGTTGGCTTTTATTTTTATTTTTATTTATGGTTTTTTGTATTTATTTTTTATAGTTTGGTTAAGGATGGTGGTGTGTTGGCCAGGATCATTTGTCTTCATTGTTTTTTTTTCCTGCATTGTATCAATTTACTCTTAGTCAATAGAAACACAAGAATTTTGTAGTATGATCAAATAGTTGTAAATAAATGAGAAGAGAGATAAAGAGAGATAATTTTTACGATAGAGAATCATCTAATCTTGTGTGTTGGAACCTCTTGATTGCTAGAAACAAGTTTCTTTTAACGAATTTAGATTCGCTAAACTTGGGGTACCAACTCCAATAGTGAAATTAAAGAAATCTCAACTATTCGTTGAAAAATAGAAGGTCTAAATGAAAACAAAAGAAAGAAAGAAAGAAAGAAAAAAGAAGGGAAATGATATATTTTCTCACGTGAAAAACAAAGGGGGAGAAGAAGTAATTATTTTTTAAGTTAACGCGATCTAAATCTTCCAATTTTAGTTAAAAAGTTGGAATTTCTTCAATTTCACTGTTGAATTTATTTATTTATTTTTTGGAAAGCAATAGAACTGTGTGAGTAATTTTCCAACCACACTGCCAACTCAGTATTCAACTGGAGAACATTGACAGAATAGATGACACCTGGTTGACCTGCAACAGAAAAAGAAGATTCCGGTGGTGGTTTGTCCACCCAGGAGCACTCCGACGATCAAGTCAGTATATCTCTAAAAAATAATCAATAGTGCTAATCTCACTATTCAGAATATAAATTGCGTACCTTAGACCCACGGGGGTGTCTCTCTTTTATAGCTAACTCAATCCTTGTCCCAACAGGAGCCTAGCTCTAATGGACTTAGGATTACTATTAATCTTGGACCCCCAGTAGGATTGAGATAAACTCCCTAAGAGTCTTATCCTTTCCCAACTGTAGTCTTCCCCCTTTCTAGGACTCTTGTACCTTATCCGCTTATCTCGGATTCCGATATCTTCGGAGGTAACCTCAGCCTCGCCGAGATCACCTCGGCGTCATGACCAGGACACATGGCACCTCGGCTGACACGTCGGCGTCACCTTAGCCACGTGTTGGTACTCAGAAAATATATCCCCACAACTGCCCCCTAGGTTCTTTACCTTGGCATTCTAAGGTGATGGAACCTATATCATTCCTTCCTGCCAGTACATCGGCTTAGCCGAGATCATCATCATAGGCCGATATGTCTTTTTAGAGATCAAGAATTCCAAGAGCTTCTTCACGCGTATGAGCTGTTATACATAACAACTCAATCGTTTTAGGCCATGTGCATTCCCCTTACTGGATCGTACTTGTACGCGTTCGTAAGTCGTCTCGCGCCTACATGCACCGTCTGACGTATTAGCTGTTCCAGGTGCATTAATTGCCCTATTTTTGCCGCCGTTTCAATTTTTTGACAAAACTTGTTTCCCCTTTTCGTTTTTCTCACTTTACACTGTCTTTATTCAGAACTCTTTCTCTCTCTAGCTTCCTCTAATCCTCCATTTTTCCAAGCTCTGAAGCTCTGCAACTTGCTCCATCCATTTCTTCCGTAGAAGTTCTTGCCAATCTGTTCCGCTGTCGCCGTTCTTCTGACTTCGGCGATCTCAAGCATGGGCTTCTTTTCTCTGGTAAGTCACCATTCCAGTTTTTGTTGTGTTTCATGAAATTTTGCTTCATCATTAGTTGCCATTGTTGTTTTACTTGAATATTTAATTCGCGGATCATGTATCTGAGCATGTTTATTTCATATTTTTGCTCTTGGTCCATGTCTTGAACACTCGCACTGTTCACATACCTGTTGGTTTCTGCCATTGTTCTTGGCCTGATACATTTGTGCAAACTTTTTGTCTTGATTTCTTGATGACTTCATCACCATTCTTGTTTCTGAAACGGATCCCTGTTTTTCTGTTTTTCAGATTCGTCCCTTCAATCTTCATCTCCATAGTTTTAGGTTTGGGACTTGTTTGTAAAACCCACAAATTGCTAAAAAAAACTAAAACGAACTCCTTCTAGATCCATACAAACCCTTACCATAGTACACTTTTAGGTTTTTAGCCAAGGTCATTTAAACCCTAAAAAATACTTCTTCCTGAAATCCGATACCTCTATTTAAGCCGACGTCATGGGTATGTGGGAACATAAGGTAAACACCCCAGAAAAATTAGAGTACTTTAGGCAGGAGTTTGAAATCTCGACCGACATTCATCTGAGGTTGGCTGGGGAGGATGACTCTATCATGCCCGATGAAAACCTCATGCTTTTCCCAGCGGTTGCGTTTATTAAGTGTGGACTTAGGTTTCCACTTGACCATTTTTTCTGTCAAATCCTTCATTTCTATAAGTTGAACCCAATGTAACTTACCATCAACTCTTACCGAGTTATTAACGGTACCATAGCTTTAGCCAAACAAGAGAGTGCTAGGATTACTCTTGCCGATTTCCAATACTGTTATACCATGTGTCGCCTGAAATCGGAAAAAGTCCACATCTATTGCCTCAAGCCGAGGTCTACTGAATACAAAATCATTGCCGACCTCCCTGACTCCAATAAGGGAGCGGGCAATGATTACTTCAGCGTCTCGGGAAACTAGGAGTTCCAGCCAAACGATGACCTCCACCTTTATCCCCTTAGTCGAACAGTTTTCGAGGAAGGAGCTGGTAAGGGCCACCCTTCACAAATTTTTTTGCTTTCTTGTATAAAGTTTTCAACATTCTGTTCTAATGTCTATGCTTTTTTCTTCTTTGCAGTTCTTCCTTAGCCACCACAGGGCTTCCGTCAGTCTTTTTTTCCCAGCAAAGACTTAAAGAAATTACTGAACTTACCAGTTCACAAGCGGAAGGCCCCTCTGCTTCTCAATTTTATCCCCACTTACAAGTTAGCTCTCCCCGACGTCCCAAAAAAGAAGAAGAAAAGCCTTTCTCCACCTTCTGCCACAACTCCACAAGTTGCGTCCACATCTCGGACAGACCAAGGATCAACCTCTGATCCAGCTGAGCAACCTTCAACCTCGGCTCCATACCTGATTCTGACATCCCAGCGCCGTCGCCAACGTTGAACAGTTTTTCCCGTCGAGATGGGCCGTCAAAGAGCCGTTGCAAAAGATCTCCTGGCCAGTATCCCCTCTGATGTCGACGCTCAGCCAACACAAACCTAGCCTCCACCAAAACAGAAAAGAATAAAAAAGGCTCAACCAAAGGCCAAGGTCACTCAGATTGACACTGAGGACACTTTGCCGATCTCCAAACTGGCTAAGAATGACAAGTCCCAGCCTACCGTGGAGAAGAGGCGTGCCGAGGCCTAACCATCTGATTCTCCGAAATCAAAGAGGCCGAGGTCATCTTCTGCAACCACCTCGGGGTCCAAAAAACATGATGCCCCCTGGGCCCCCAAAATTACTTTGGAAGATAAGCCAGTTATGGCTAATGATAGTGCTGATGATATCAACGTCGGCGTAGCCCTCAGCACCGCTCTACTCCTTCCCGGCGACCTTGATCGAAACGCCGAGTTGAACGAGTATGAGAATTACGCTTTGATGTTTCAATGCTCCGTTCAAGTAAGTGTCTTTATCCTGCAACTTTTTCTTTCTTTCTGTTCATTCCATACTTGTAATTTTTCTAATAGCTTCTGTTTTGTTTTATGTTTTCTCAGGCAATCCAGCATGCCCATTCTTTCTCGATACAATCTTTCGAGAACCGGGAGAGGCTGGCCGAGATGAAGAGGGAGGCCTCCAGTCTTTAAAAGGCCAACAAGAGCTTACAATCAAAAATGAAGAAGCTGGAGGACCAGGCCGAGGAGGACCAGGTCGAGGCTGCCATCAAGGCCAAGAACGATGCCGAAGAAAAGGTTGGTGCTGCTGAGGCAATAAACAAAGTCCTTCAAACCCAACTGAAAGAGGTTAAGGACAAAATGGCTGAGGCCCAAAGGGAGCTTCAAGACGCCATGGCTACCAAAGAGGCTGAAATCAAGGCCGTCGACGAGAAGGGCTATAATAAAGGGGTGGCCGACGTCACGGCGGACTATGAAAAGCAAGTGAAGCAGGCATGCAACAAGGGTTTCATCCTTGGCTGGATGACCTTACTGAAAAAGCTTGATGTCCCCGTGGACTCCCCCCTCAGGAATCCCGATGTCATTTCTCTGCCATTCCCTCCAACTCCAAGCCAACCTGCCGACGACGACTCTGAGTCTGAGGAGGAGATTTTGGTGAGGAAACCCAAGGAAGTTGCTGGGGCCAAGTCCCCTTCTCTGAATGAGCAAGTCCTGGACTTGACTCAAGATGAGGAGGATAAGAAGGCTCCCAAAGATGCTGCTCCTGAGAAAGCATTATCCGACGTCCTTCTTGCCGACAAGAGTCTAGATGAAACCCTGCAAGAAATCGATGCTGAACTTGCGCCGAGAAGGTTGCCGAGATGTCTTCTCAGCAATCCTCCGAGGTCCAAACCCAGCCTGCTGCTGAAGACTCTTAATTTTATTTTCTTCCATCTTTTGTACTTTTGCTTTTCTTCTTTTGGGAACAATTGTAAGCTTTTGACCGACGTGCCACAACTTTCCTTCTCTGAATGCTTGTATCTTTGTCTTCTCTTTACTACTTTTGCATGATTCTGTACTTAGAATATTTTTCGTATCTTTAATATGTACTTCAATCTTTGTGTAACCTTCTCGGGGCGACACACCTCGGTCATACAGACTTGGTTTAATTTTAACTTGTAAACTTTTCTCAAGTTTCAATAAGTGTTAAACATCATATCGGTTTAACTTCAACTTGTAAACTTTTTTCAAGTTTCAACAAGTGTCAACATCATATCGGTTTAACTTCAACTTGTAAACTTTTCTCAAGTCTCAACAAGTGTTAAACATCATATCGGTTTAACTTCAACTTGTAAACTTTTCTCAAGTTTCAATAAGTGTCAAATATCATATCGGTTTAACTTCAACCGGTAAACTTTTCTCAAGTTTCAACAAATGTTAAACATCATATCGTCTCTTTGCCCCCCAATGTGAACCTCAGTTCCACTTGGGTTCTCATTATCCATGTATTCAAGAAATATCGACAAGTATCTAAGAAATGTAGAAGAATTCTGCTGAAATTTTATTCATTATGCCGTCAAGAAACAAGGAAAATCTAATGATAAAAAAATTTCAGATTACAAGTGTTCCAAGGCCTTGGCAATTCTTTGCCCTCATTTTTTTCAAGCCGATATGCCCCATTGCCCAATACCGAAGTGATTTTGTAAGGTCCTTCCCAGTTTGGGCCAAGCTTGCTCTCCCTGGGATCCTTCTTGTTGCCGACGACTTTTCTCAAGACTAGGTTGCCAACTTGGAACTCCCTTGGGTTAACTTTTTTATTGTAATCTCTGGCAAGTTGCTGCTGGTATGCTACTAGTTGAATTGCAGCTCTCTCTCTTCTTTCTTCTAGTAGGTCCAGATCTTAGGCTAAGAGTACATCATTAGTCCCATTCTCTACTCCCTGGGTTCTGATCCCAGGGATGCCGACCTCCAGCGAAATGACAGCTTCTGTGCCATAGGCCATGGCAAAAGGGGATTCCCCCGTTGATCTTCTCGGTGTAATTCGATATGCCCAGAGCACACTTGGTAGTTCATCCACCCACTTTCCCTTTGCTGTCTGCACCCTCTTCTTTATCCCATCCAAGATAACTTTGTTGGATGCTTCTGCTTGTCCATTGCTTTGGGAAAAGCTTGGGGTTGAAAAGTAGTTCTTGGTCTTGAACTTTGCACAGAAGTTCTTAATCAGTTTGCTGTCGAATTGTGTTCCGTTGTCGGCAACTATTACTCTTGGAATTCCAAATCTGGTGATGATGTTCTTCCATATGAAGCTCTTTACATCAACATCTCAGATTTTGGCAAGGGGTTCAGCTTCTATCCACTTGGTGAAGTAGTCTGTCGCCACCAGCAGGTATTTTCTTTGTCCAGTTGCTTGGGGCAGTTTCCTAACGAGATCCATGCCCCATTGGGCAAACGGCCAAGGACTGGATACTAGGTTCAGGTCTGCTGCTGGCTGGTGTATCAGAGGGGCAAATCTTTGACATTTTTCACACTTCTTCACATAGGCTTCTGCGTCTTTTTGTATGTAGAGCCACCAATACCCCTAGGTAATGGCCCTATGGGCAAGTGATCTGCCTCCGAAGTGGCTTCCACAAATTCCTTCATGAATTTCATATAAAAAATCTTCAACTTGTGAAGGATGTACACACCTCAAGAGGGGTCCAGTGAAGGATCTTTTGTAGAGGTGTCCCTCTGCTGTTAGACTGAATCTTGCCGACTTCAATCTGATCTTGTGTGTCTCCTTGTGGTCGTCTGGCAGCTTTCCTTCTTTCAGGAATGTAACAATTGCATCCATCCAGCTTGGTCCCATGTCCACATACATCGCTTCGCACTCTGTGGTCAGTGGTTCGATCCTCGGGCCCGACAAGTAATCAACCATTATGGTCCTTGCTTTTCCAGGTTGTACCGCACTAGCTAGGTTGGCCAACGCATCGGCGTGGCTGTTATCATCTCGGCTTACCTGAAGTAGTCAGCAGTTCTGAAACAAGGCTGACAACCTAATGACCTCCTTTGCATAGGCCGACATTCGTTCATCTCGGGCTGCAAACTCGCCTGTTGTTTGGTTAACTATCAGTTGTGAATCACAAAAAACTATTACATCATCTGCTTGCACTGCTGCTGCCAACTTCAGTCCTGCAATGAGTGCTTCGTATTCTGCTTCATCGTTTGAGGCCTTGAACCCCAAACGAATCGATTGTTCTATTATCTGCCCATCTGGAGATATCAAAACTACTCCTGCCCCTGCTCCCTATCGGTTGGAACTCCCATCAACGAACAGTCGAAAGGAGTCGCCGATGTAAATGCTGCAGGGTCTGAGTTTTTCTTTTTTCTTTTGTTCTTTCGCCTTTACCTGGGTTTCTCCTTGCTTGTTTGGACATCATTCATCTTGGCTTAACAGAGCCCGATGTACGATGGATTCTGGCGTGAACTCGGCCACGAAGTCGGCCAGAACTTGGCCTTTGATTGCTGTTCTGGGTCTGTACTCCAGGTCATACTGGCCCAGGGCGACTGTCCATCTGACTATTCTTCTTGTCAAGTCTCCTTGTTGCAACAAGGACTTCAAGGGGTGTTCAGTTAGCACCACAATTTTATGAGCCTGGAAGTAATGGTTCAGCTTCTTGAAGCCATTACCAAAGCCAGTGCCAATTTCTCTAAGGGTAGATACCTTGTTTCTGCATCGGCCAAGGTTTTGTTTACATAGTAAATAGCCCTTTGCTCCCCTTTTTCTTCTTGGATTACCACTGCGCTCACTGCGTATTCTGAAACCGCTAAGCATAGGAACAGCTCCTCCCCAGGTTCTGGATTTGAAAGAACTGGAGCTGTGGTCAAGTACTTCTTCAGGTCGGCCAAAGCGGCTTCGCACTCCTCGGTCCATAGGAAGTCTGTGGTTTTCTTCACTAAGTTGAAGAAAGGTTTGCATTTGTCTGAACTTCTGCTAATGAACCTATTCAGGGCTGCGACCCTTCCAGTTAGCATTTGCACTTGTTTTGCCGACGTCGGACTCTTCAAATCTAGGATGGCCTTGATCTGATCTGGGCTGGCCTCTATGCCCCTTCTAGTCACCAGGTATCCCAAAAACTTACCAGATCCTACTCCAAATGCACACTTTGCTGCATTGAGTCGGAGCCGATATGTCTTAAGGATGTCAAAGACTGCTTTCAGGTCGACCAGATGACCTTCAGGTTCCTTGGTCTTCACGACCATGTCGTCAATGTACACTTCTACCATTCCGCCAATCAGGTTTTTGAACATCTTGGTTACCAATCATTGGTAAGTTGCTCATGCGTTTTTCAGCCCGAAAGGCATCACTTTGTAGCAGTACAGTCCTTTGGGGGTGATAAACGCAGTCTTCTCTTCATCTGAGGGGTACGTGGCTATCTGATGGTACCCCCTGTATGCATCCAGGAAGCTCATCCTCCCATGCCCCGAAGTGGTGTCTGCCAGCTGGTCAATCTTGGGTAGAGGAAAGCTGTCTTTGGGATAGGCTTTGTTTAAACTGGTAAAGTCTACACAGACCCTCCATTTATCGTTCTTCTTCTTCACTACTACTGTGTTCGATAGCCATGTCGGTTAATTTACCTCTCGAATGGCCCTGGCCTCGAGAAGTCTGTCTACTTCTTCTTCCATTGCTTCGACGTGTACCAACGTCGGTCTTCTTGCTTGTTGAATTATAGGTTTGGCCGACTTGTCAACGTTCAGCTTATGGCAAGTGACCTCGGGGTCAATGCCTGGCATTTTGTAAGGTGTCCACGCGAACACCTCAACGTTTGCTCTCAAAAAAGCTTCCAATTCTTTTTCCTTTTCTTCGGCTAAGCCCGAGTTTAGAAGAAAGAAGCATTTTTCATCCCCTTCCTGGACGAGAATTTTCTTCAGTGCTTTTTCACTCTTCTCGGCTGGCTCCTTGCTGACATCTTCTAGGACCTCCACGTCCTCATCTTCAATCTCTGCCTTTTCTGGTTCTCGAATGTTGCAGGTGGATTTCATTGCTGCCATGGAGCAATTTTTTGCCTGCAGTTGATCTCGTCTGACCTTTTCAATCCCATGCTCTGTTGGGAACCGCAATAGTTGATGTAGCGTTGAGGGAACAGCCTCCATTGCATATAACCATGGCCTTCCTAAGATGATGTTGTAAGGGGAGGGTGTGTCGATTACGGTAAACTCTGTTGTTATCTTCTTGGTGCCTGCTTGCACCTCTAAGCTGGTTGTTCCCAGTGGCCATGTCGGCGTTCCATTGAACCCGATCATTGGGCTATTAAATTGCTCCATATCGTCTGGGTGAAAGCCGAGCTCCTTGTAACATCGAACGTACATGATGTCGCAAGAGCTGCCTTGGTCAATCAGGATGCGTTTTACTTGGCACTCCCCAACCTGGAGGGATACTACCAAGGCGTCATTATGCGGATGCTGCACCATCTCAAGGTTGGCTTCCGAAAAGGACACTACTGGTCCTTGTCACTCCTCTGCCCGATGTCTCTTCT